GAGACAGACAGAGACAGATAGAGACAGACAGAGACAGATAGAGACAGATAGAGACAGACAGAGACAGACAGAGACAGACAGAGACAAAGGGCCTGAGGAGTATATATATGTAGGTAGTTGAGAGGAGACAGTTGTGTGCATTTGTTTGTGTTGTTTTGTCTCCTTTCCGGCCCTATCTCCATTTGTTTATTTGCTTGTTTATCTATTTGTTTATTTATCTGTCTCCTTTCCATAGGGCCCTTCTCTGCTCTTCACCTACGAGCTGTCTCCTTGTGGGGCCTCAGCTGCAACAAGGAGACAGCAGAGACACTCCGTCTCTCTTCTCAGCTTAGCAACGCACTCGACCTCGCCCTAAGCAACCCCAAGCAGCAGCAGCAGCAGCAGCAGCAGCAGCAGCAGCAGCAGCAGCAGCGGGATAATGGTAGGGACTCGACTAGGGCTGCAGTAGTTTCTGCTAAGGGGTTGGGCCTGTACCTAGGGTTTAGGGTTTAGGGTTTAGGGTTTAGGGTTTGGGGCTGCGTCTGTTTTCTGTGTTTGCTGCTGCAGCAGCAACACCAAGCCGCTACCATAGGAGGACCCCCAAGGAGACACTTCTGCTGCAGCAGCGGAGACAAGTGCGGAGGGGGGGCCCCACCCAATTCTCTTTCTTTTAGGGCCTCCTCTTGCAGGGGGCCCCCCAGGGGGCCCCTCTTACAGGAGCAGCACTAGAGGCAGCTGGTGGGCGTAGTAGTAAGTTTCTGTCTCATAGCAGGTCTATATATACCTTTAAGTGCGCATCAAAGCAACAGCAACAGCAGCAGCAGTAGCAGCAGCAGCAGCAACAATAAAGGATCAACCCGCTGCCTGAAGATGCAAACAGACAAACTACAAATACAGAAAACATACAGCAACACAACAGAGAACCAAAACGTCCCCAGAGTGCCCCCCAGAGGGCCCCTAAAGGCCCTTTGAAGGGCCCCCAAAGGGCCCCCAAAAGGCCCCCAAAGGGCTCCCTAAGGGCCCCCTAAGGGACCCCCCCCCTAGGGGCCCCCTAAGGGCCCCCTAAGGGCCCCCAAGGGCCCCCAAGGGCCCCCAAGGGCCTCTGAGGGCTTCGTAAGTCGAAGAGGCATCACTAGTGCCAAGGGAGAGGCGTATGTTAATGGGGGCCCCTGGCTGAGCTGTACTGAGCACAGGACGGTGGAGCTAAACCCTAAACCCTAAACCCTGAGTCCTAAACCCTTATCTGTTGTAAGCAAGACCCGTGCTTGTTTGTGTTTGTGCATTTAATTGCATGTCTTTCTGTGGGTCTTCATTCTGTTTGTTTGTTTTTGCTTATTTTGTTTTTTTAATAGAAGGAAGACCTTTTATTTTTAATTTGTTTAATAGTACGTACAGACACCCTAACTGTCTCTGCTGCATTTTACTGTCTCTCTACTACGCAAACTGAGGTACCCCACAGAGGGCGTGGGGGCCCCAAGAAGTTGGGGCCCACCAGGCCCTCTACTGGTGGTGTATTGCTGCTGCTGCTGCTGCTGCTGCTGCTGCTGTGTTGTTGTTGTTGTTGTTGTTGCTGCTCCTGCCTTGGTGTTGCTACCGCGGTAGTTCACTCCCTTGCTGTCTATATGGCTACGACCTTGTTGTCCCTACTGCTGCTGCTACTGCTGCTGCTGGTGTTGCTGCTGCTGCTACTGCTGCTACTGCTGCTGCTGCTGCTGCTGTACACCGGACCAATGGTGCACGGTGGCGTTCAGCTTGAACGAAATTTTTATTTTTGTGCATTTTATCAATAAAAAATTAAATATTTTGTTTTAAAAATAAAAAATAAACCTTATAAAGGCTCATACTTCGGGCTTTGGGGCTTAGGGTTTAGGGTTTAGGGTTTAGGGTTTAGGGTTTAGGGTTTAGGGTGACCCCACCCCACCGCTCTTGCCCCCCAGCCCTTGTATTTGAGTGTATAAGGAGCTTCAAAAAGTATATGTTTTTGCTTAAATATAATTGTCAATGGACTTGGCGCCTAAAAAATTATTTATTTCTTTTGTTGTGCATCTTCTGGGGTGTATATACACCGCAGCAACCAGCGGTTCTGAGGGTATTATTATTTGTCTGTCTGCAGCAGACGTACAGCTGCATCAATTTACGTGTTTTTCTTTCTTTTATCTTTTGTTGGTGCTGTTATTTGTCTTTAGTTGTCTGTACACCTCAAATAAAACTCTCTATCATAGCTGCTGCACCCCTGTCTCCTTCTCTACTTTTTGTTTATTTCTTCTGTCTCTATTGTCTCTCTTCACGAGCTGTGCATACACTCCGACTTCTGACGACCATTAAAAATAATTAAAAAGACAGCAGCAGCAAACAAAGCAGAGCCACACGCCTACAAACACCCAGGTCGGAAGCAAATACATCAACAGCAGCAGCAGCAGCAGCACCACCACCAGCAGCAGCAGCAGCAGGAATAGAAGCTGCAGGGGAAGTAGAAGGAGGAGGATCAGAAGCAACAGGATGGGGGGCCCCACAGGCAAGG